ATTAAAAGCTCCAACAGCTATTTTTTCAAGCTTTTGAACGTTAGGAACTCATTCTCCTATATATTTGGACCCCCTCTTCTCACTTTTACACACACAAACACAATTCTCTCCCTTCCTCTTGCATATTTCATCCTCCTTACAATTTTTTTTCCAGAATTCTCCACTATGGGCAGAGACAATAGCAGGGCTGCCACCTCCGGGAAATCAAAGTCCAAATCCCCTGCGCCTGCGACGTCCTCCGAGGAATGCCTCTACTATGGCGATGGGTCGTACCTCTGGTTCGATTCCGAGGAGGAGCGCACCCGCTTTTTCACCTTCTTCTCTAAACGGGTTATGGCTCCCCCACGAATCGTCCCGGAGCGCTTCCCAGAGTTGCAGGGCTACGACGACTTAGACGCGCAGCTTCATCAAGCCGGCCTTTGGCCGTTCGTCTCCCGGGCTCGAAAGGAGATCAACCCGGCACTGATCCGGGCCTTCTACTCCAACCTCCGGCGTGAGGACGACGTCATCTACAGCCTCGTCAAGTCCACGCCGATTGAGCTTACCGTGGAGCAGCTTGGGCGCATCGCCGGCCTCCCCTTCCAAGGCGACAACGTCTCTCACTATGGCGGAGAGGACTGGGTGCTCAACAACGAGGGCCTTATCCTTAACGAGCTTGGCATCACCGAGCTCATCCGCCATGCCTCGGGCCGCCCCACCATCCACTCCGCAAACCCCGAAGGCCGTCTCATCCTCTACATCGTGTCCCGGATCATCAAACCCCGGAAGCATGGCCACACAATCATGTCCGGTGAGGACCTCAAGCTCATCCAGGCGATCATGCACTCGGCCCCAATCAATTGGGCGAAGTTTGTCATGATCAACATGACGATCGCAGCGGCCACCGACCACGATCACCTCCTCCCGTACCCGTTCGTGGTGATGGACATCCTTGAACGGTTCAAGGTAACCACCACCGTTGGCCCGCTCACGAAGGCCACGAAGCTTTGGAGAATCAGCAACCAAACCTTCACCAAGCGGTCGGACAACGCCGCGACTGCCACTGCCGCACCACGCCGCACTGCCCCTGCAGCTGGGCCAGCCGAACCCCAGGCCCGGGCCAACCTTGCCTCCATCGCTGACTCCCTCAACCCGCTCCACTTCAAAGTTGACGGGATGGAGGGCTACCTTGAATGGCTCGACGTGGCTGTTCAACGCCAAGGGCACGCCATGAACGCGTAATTCTAAGGCATCAACTACGTCCCTCCACCTTTCCACGGCACATTCCTCGGGGAAGTGTACGGTGATGAGGACGAAGAGGATGGCTCCTACTCCCAGTCAAGCTCCCCGGACGAGGATAAGTTCGACGATGCCATTGATGGGGATGAGATGGACGTCGACAACGACGAGGAAGAAACCGAAGACGAAGACTAGGACACCCCTAGAATTTCTATCTCTTTTCCTTTAAATTATCTTTTTTTACTGCTTCCGTTGTAATCAGCTATTTCCCTTTAATAAATAAAATTATCTTTTATCTTTTTGTTAATGTCAAAAGGGGGAAGAAAAGGGCTATGCATATACTAAGGGGGAACGTCTCTAAAAACGAGACAGTTTGATTTTAATTCGACTATTTTTCTTAAGCACAAATTAAGGGGGAACTTTCTCACAACTTTTTGAAAAACAAATATCCCTTAGTATGCATATCCCCGTCTTGTTTGCCATTATCAAAAAGGGGGAAATTGTTGGAAAACGGGTTTACGCCTACGTCATACTAAACTGTGTTTGTTTTATGACAGGTTTTGATAATGCCAAACTGCCGTGACATAACAAGGCTAAAGTGAGCAAAACCAAGGCGAAGGAACATGGCATGATGATTTGAGAACCAAGAATCAAGAATCAAAAACGAAGAATTAGAATTGCATTGAGTCGGTCTTAATGTGATCAAGACCAGCACAAACTTTCAAATCTTGGCTCTCTAGGCTCATTCCATCAAAATACTTTTTGCAAATTCAAAAATGTTTTTCATAAGTTTTAAACATGTCTAAAAACACTTGGAGTTCGCCCAAATCAAAAACCAAGCCATCCAGCGTTCGGCTTTCAGAAACCGGTGTTTGGCTTTCGGTTTTCGGCGTTGGTTTTTGGCGACCGAACCAACCAAGTGGTTTTCAACTTTTTATGATTGGTTTTTACTTCTGGGCATATTTAAATAGTTCTCCAACAAAAACGCTTCAAAAACCACCTTCTGTTTTTGGTCATTTAGTGAAAACCATGCGAAACGGCTCAAACTTGGTTAGCCGTGGTTTTCAATTAAATGACGTGGTTTTTGAGATGTTTTACTTGATTTCTTAGCAAAATGCAATAAACAAATGTTTTCAATACTTGGTTTTTATTTTGGAGAACTTACATTTTTGACATCGGCTAACGGCATGACTAAACCAACCATGGGCCTGGCTAAACCAGCCCAACAATGATGTTGGTGTAACCAACAGCGCTGTCTGGCTTGGGTAGCTGAAAACCATGATTTGGCGTTAAGTCTTCCAACAACGATGTTGGATATTAGACATCGCTGTTGAGCCAAGGTTGTGCTTCTAGAAACATCTGGAACAGCGATGTAGCCTTCCCTACATCGCTGTCCAACCTAAGCCAAAAATAAAGTGCATTGGCAGAAAGTTTTTGGACAGCGATGTTGACCCAGCAACAGTGCTGTTAGGCCAAAACTCCACCTTCAAAGTCAGACCTAAACAACGATTTTCAAGTATTGAACATCGATGTAGGGACCTGACCGTTGGAAGGAATTTAAGGCTAAAACTTTCCTTGTTTGGAAGTCAACAGCCAAAACAGCGATGTAGGAATACTGGACATCGCTGTTGGCATGACCGTTGCTTCCCAATTTTCAAAACCCAAGCCTAGAACAGCGATGTCCAAGCCTAGGACAGCGCTGTCTGGGTGAATTTCAGCAGATCCAAATTTAATCAAATCCCACAAATTGTGCCAATCACCCCTTAAATGTTTTGGTCCGTTGGAGCCTATTTTTCTACTATAAAATGGGGTGTTTGGGTCTGTTTTACATATCACATAACTTCACAACTCCTACTCTTTCATTGCAAATCATTCATCCTTTATTTTTAGCTTTTTGAGAGCCATTTTTTGTGAAGCTTGTGTTGTGTTCTTGAGCGTTCTTAGTTACTCAATTATCCACTCTAAAAGAGAGTATTATTCTTGAGTGTTTTTAGCGTTCTTAGATGTTAGAATAATAGACCAACGCTAGAGGGGGGTGAATAGCGTTTGATCGTAGAAATCGCAGGAATTAAAAAATTAAAAGATAAGTAAAGAGAAGAGTAAGAGGCACACTGAATTTTACCCTGGTTCACCACAACTTGTGGCTAATCCAGCCTCCCGAGAGACTCTCTCGAGCTACACTACTATCTCGTTAAGCTTGCGGGTGCTTAACAAACCGTTACAACTTGAGAGTTCGAGTTACACGAACCTCAACGAGTCTTTCAAAGGCAACAGCCCTTCCTTTGAATCTACCGAGAGAAATATTTTCTCTCAAAGTGTCTAAGAACACGAATACACTCAAGAACGAGACTCTCTTATAGAGTAGATTATGAGTAAACTAAGTACGCTCAAGAACAACTCAACCTTCACACAAAATGGCTCTAGAAAGCTATGGAAAGTGATGATATTTGAATGCAATGAAAGTATGAATGTTGTGAAGTGAATTTTTTTGAGAAAAGCAGACCCAAACACCCCTTTTTATAGTGCCAAAATAGGCTCCAACGGACCAATGCATTAAAGGGGTGATTGGCTTGATTTATGGGATTGAATAAATTTGGGATCTGCAGGATATTGGCTTCCCATCGATGTTTGGAACTTACCCATCGCTGGTAAGCCAATTTTCCTTCAGTTTTGAAGCCAACGGTCACCTACCCATCGATGGGTA